GTCGGGCAAATGGTTTTAAAGGCCCCGACACCTCACCCTGCCCTGAGCCAGGATGGTCCTCTGGCTGGTACATCTTTTGCCGGGGCCAGATGTCGCACAGATCCCCTTCCCCAATGGCAGACTCTCCCCCAACCAGGGACCTCCCGCTCTCCAACGTGAGGTACGATCAGAGGGAGGGAGGGAGGGGCGGAGGAAAAGCAACACAGGGGCCCTTGCCCCGGGGATGATGGCTGTTTTTCATTCTATATACATTGGGATTGGCCCCCGGCGAGGGGGCAGGCATGGGTCGCCCCCTCGGACTTTCGGTCTCAGGGGGAGGGGAGAGGAGGACAGGGGAGGCTGCTGGGCCCGAGGTCCCTCTGGCGGAAAGAATCGACAGACGAACCAAGCAGATGTGATCAACTACTTGTTGATCTTGGTCTCCTTGAAGAGTACCCGCTGGCGGACTGTGCGAGACGGGGCCCCACGAGATTGGACCGAGGGAGCACATGGTTAGCGGGAGCAGGGGACCGGACAAAAGCCAAACGGCAGGCCCGGCCTTCAGAGACACCGGGGGGGGGGGGGGGGGGCGCAAGACAAAGAACACACGCACTGACAGGGTCATACTTGACGAAGTTCAGCTTGTAGTCAGCGATACGAGGGCGCCGAGCGGTGTAGAAAAAGCCAGTGCCGGCAGTGGAGAGGAGCTTCACGATGATGGTGCTACACAGGGGGGGGGGGGGATGTTAGGGAGAGGGAGCGAGGACATGGGGCATACGCAAGGACACCGCCCGGACGACAGATGAGGGGAAGAAAAAGGGTGACATACCGAGCCTTGGCCTTCGACACTGCAGGAATGGGCCACAGAGCGAGGCGAGGCAGCATAGAGGTTAGTCGATGGAGAAAGGCCCCTCGTGGCGAGGGAGGGAAGGGGGGGGGGAAAAAAAAACCCAGCCCATGCACAAAAGGAGGGGCAGGGGCGAAAGTCACTTCGGTAGGCGGGCGGGCAGCTGGGCGACAAGGTCCACCACAAAGCCAGGAGGAATGGGCAGACAGTGGAAGAGCGAGAGCAGGGAGGGAGCGAAGGAGATGAGGTGCATACTGGTGGCGGAAGGAGAGGAGGAGAGGCGGAAGGGCGATGCTCGGCCGGCAGGCGGAAGAGGCACGAGGGGGAAGAGGGGGGCGCAGAGATGGGGGCTGGAGATCGGGCCCGGCCGGCCCAGGACGCGACGGTGCGGCACGATATCAGGCACCCATGCCCTCGGGGAGGTCCATCGCGCGACGGCCGATGGAGGCCGGGCCGCCGGGGGGGCATGTGCCCAGGCGCCTTTCGTGGCTGTTGCAGGATGGGCCGGGATCGCGACCTCCATGGAGACGAGGCACAGGTGCCAATGATCGGGAGTAAATAGCATTCCAGGGTCAGCAACACCCGGCCCGTGATAGCATCCGCCAACGGATGGCGGATCTCCCATTTGACCTCCCAGTCCGTCGTTTTTTCCTCCCCCCAGTAAGCCGCCACGGAGAGCCCGGGGGGCGCTAATTCCAAGCGTGGCTGCTCGGGCCGATGTGGTCTGTGCGGGGGGGGGGGGGGGGG